TGTTGATTGCACAAAATGTCTAATTGCGGACTGTCAAGATTGATTAGGGTGAAAATGTACAGTATGTATTCTGTGATAAAATAAATAACATATTAAATATCTAATTTTAGGAGTGCATTTCCAGATCGCTATACAATTGAAATATTGAGCACTATTTCAACAGTGAAAGTATTCTGTTATTGTAATTGTAGGTCGCATAGCGTGAAACGACATGATTTTTGAGGTTCTGTTTAATTTTTCTAATTTTAGGTGTATACAGATAGAGCTTCAATATATATGAATAAAGTGCTTATGGTGTGGCATGGAAGCTCCTCGTGTAAGTTTCAAATTATCATATTGTAGAAATTCTGTTAACGCCTGTTCTGGCATATCATGCATAATGTCAAATGGTTAAAATATGACGAGGGACGCTTGGTGACTCAGTGTGCTACAGGTTGTGCATCCGAAAGATCGGTCGACTGTTGAACATGGAAAAAATGTACTACTTCCCTGACAAAATTACATTACACACTACATGTTGTATGTTCACATTAGCCCTACCAGATGCAGAAACGAAAAACGTAAAACATCACCTTATTCCATGTTTTCTATCTAGAACAGGTTATGACAACTCGGTATCCCTTGAAGAGTACACTTTTAGGGAACTCTGAATTAAGAATGGGTGGTATTCCATTCTTAAATACATTTTTTTCTCGATCCTTTAATCTTTAGTGTAGGTTATTATCCGATACACCTCCACTTTTTGTGATACACCTACACTTTTCTGATACACCTACACTTTTTGTTCCGCTGAGTATTGGAAAAGTCCAGGTTAAACTAAAAATGGCGGCTTGCAATAACAACAACAGTTCATAATTTTATTACAAGTTATCGTTGAAAGATTCTCCTCGTCGTCTATCTTTGAGCAAAGTGCTTCTATAAATATAATATAAATTTGCATAATTTCATAAAGTTTCAAATAATTCTCTTTAAGATTTATCTAAATGTTATCAATATTTAGTTCTCAAAAAAGTTATACTATTATATAAACAGATGGACCGTAGTCACATTAGTTATGACATCAATCCAGTACATGTATGTAATCAACAAAAAATTACGAAAGTAAGCTGTCATCTGATATAAATAAAGTGATAGAAAACAATATGATAATTGTTTAAGATAAAGTAGGAGTTTATCTACAAATTTTGTAGAAGTAATATTTAACTCGACAGGGTTTATATAACATTTAGTAATTCATATATTTTGAAATGGAAATTAAAAGTTGTTTATCAGTCGATGAACAGAATTAGTAAAATGTAATGTAATGAAATATGGCACATATTTATATCCGAAATTAGCTCATGTTTTACAAACACGCTTAAAATGAAGCGTATCTTCAACTTGTATTTTACACAATGGATAAAGTGGACTATATCTATATTGTAAGTCAATGTTCTTTGTGAACATTCTAGAATGATAAGTACTAGCAAGTTTCGGTGTTTGGAAAATAATTTAAAAAGGCATGCGAACTCTGTAAAGTCTAAAGTAGTTTTGACATTATTTTGATGAAACGTGTCGGCGACAGCTAATTGTTTCCTTGTTATGGCAACAGATCTGTGATGTGAAGGTTCGTTACTATTTTTGTTTCAATCCATTTCAGGTTAGAAAGGGTGAATCTTCTGTTAATTTACCTACCCACTATAGCACTGCCACAATAGGAAGGTTCTGTGGTCATGGCCTGTATGACCCTACAGATCCTCCTACTCACAGATGAAGAACAGAAGAAGCGGCGCGCGCCAACAGATGAAGAGGAACAGATGAAGAACAGATGAAGAACAGATGAAGAGGAACAGATGAAGATGTAGGGCAAATCCTCCACCCATTTTTGGTAAGTTGGTCTTACACACTTTTTTAGACTGATTGTAGCTCATTTAGTTAAAGTTTTGGAATCTTGACGTAAATGTTACAAATCTAACAAATGGTACTAAATGGAAGCCTTAAAATATTGTTCAGTAAGATCTCAAATTATCAGAGTGTGAGAGTAAACAGATAAATATACTTTTTACATTTTATTGTTTTGGCTTATATATTGTAAATTACAATACAAACATTTAGAATTCACAATACAAAAATACACATATAATCAAACACACTTAAACAAATACATACAATCAACTCATTACAAATATCAATTTCTAATACAAGAATTACAAAATACAAAACATATATATACAAAGGATGAAAGATGTGTGAAAAAGGTTAATATTTTTGAACAAAATTAACAGCCTAACTGACTCGTACTAATGAAATAATATCATTATACAAATTTCAAATATAAATGTCATAATTTTAAAAAGACAAACATTATGGGAAAAAGGGTGGGTGGGAAAAAATTACTGCTTCATGGTTGAAATTCAATATTTAACTGACTTGTTTAGGTTTTGAGACAGTTAAGAATAACTCATTGTAGAAAAATAATTCACTTAAAGAAAAAACAACTCACTACCTAACACTGATTGTATAACAAGACATTTCTTAAAGCTATCATGTACTGAATAAAACAGAAACCAAAGGTTTACTCTTGTCCTGTTAATTAGTCATTTTATAAATAAAATTTTACAATTTCAAACATTGTGAGGACTGTACTTCATTCTTTAGAGTGTTGGAATCTTGACTTCATTGGTTTTCTCTCAAACAAATGATGGCTATTGGTTGTATGTTAAAATGGCAAAAACAATACTGATGATTTTTAAGAATTGATTCTAGTCAACCTTTCTGTAAATATGAAGTTAACAATATCTTCAAGAACCTGAGTTGTTACTCTTGAAAAAAATAGTCTTGACTTTTGTATTTTCACAAGGATTTATCACACCGAAACTACTGTCACTGGCTGACTTTCACAAAACTTGGACAGGTTAGATTTGATGGTTTTGATGATTTGTATAGAAATGGCCTCTGGCACTCGCCAAGCAGGCCATGCTTATTCCTTTCTGTAAATATGAATATACAGTGAGCAAGGACCAGTAAGTTGACAAGATATGCAAGAACCTGAATTGTTACTCTTGAAAAAAATTGTCTTGACTTTTGTATTTTCACAAGGATTTATCGGACAGAAACAGTAATTTCACAAAACTTGGACAGGTTGGATATGATTTTTTTGATGATTTTTATAGGTAGGTTCTTGATGCCTTGGACAGGTTTGAGGTTTGATCGATGAATATGTTAGGCCTATCGTATTGTGCAAGTCGTTGTGATTACTGTGACAGGTTGGTTGAATCTTCAGTCGCTCAGCCCCCTTCAATCCCCATGAAGTCAGTCTTTTCCCTATTTGAACCCATATTTGTACTTCGGAAGGATGGCACAGCCACTGTAACTCCTAACCATGTATTCTTTTAAAAAAAAAGTTAAATTCAAACGAACAGAAACTTTGACAGTTATCATGAATTAGAAATGAAGTGTGATTGGAGTTTTACATCCTACTTTTCATCACATGTCATGAATAAGAGATATGTACTTGTAATTATAATTGTGAGCGGCGAGTGATGACCTCTTCCCATCTAAAACTAGTGCAGTTGAAGAAAAATATTTATCTCTTGTTATTTCCAAATTTATCGGAATTCTAGTTTCGATTTTTATGTATTTCTTATGAGGTAAATTCTGAAAATTCGTTCTGACCATTACACCCACCGGTTTCGAAGGTCAAGAGTGACTTACGGTGGATAGCTAAATAAACGTATCCAAGAGATAAATTAACTGTGATCTTAAGCATTGTGGTTAGACTGTATACTAGTAAAGGGAGATAATTACTCTTCTGCTTAGGAGACTCATTCGGTTTCTTGTAATTTACTGTTTTATTTCTTTCTCCACAGGTAAATAATCGGTTTTATTTATCTTAATTCTATATCGGATTGTTTACTAACTATCCATGTTCATGTTCAAAATACTAATAATTGTTGACAGTTCTTGTTATGTGAAAAATATCCAAACTATCACGTGTAGAATTTGGCTTTATCGTATGACATGAAGGTAATAATAATAATAATACTCACTCTTCATTAGGGTAAGAAATTGGGCTAAATAAATTTATTTCCGCTCATGAATATGAGTGAGTAGTCAATTTGTATAGTCTACTATGCCCTGTAAATTTCAGCTTTCTGAGAAGCATTTAAAATTGTATGTCCCTATGGTCTCATTGGAAGGAAATGAACAAGATTTGGGTGATATAGGCCTATTGTAGTGGTATAACCTATAGGCCTATGCGTGCATATAAGGATTCAACACCGAATTTTGTCAAAGTTAAAAAACGCAAATTTTTGTTT